GAAACGAAAAGCAATAAAACAGCTTTACTTGAAGTACCACCCTGACAACAAAAACTTGAATGATTCTGAAGTCAACATATATGATGAAGCATTTAAATTCTTGAAGCAGCAAATTGAAAATTTAGAAAATGGAAGACCATTGGAAGACCCAGATTCACCATCAACATCATCATCAGAGACATCATCACAAAGATACACACATTCACATTGGTCAAGACATTTTGATGAATGGGATGAGGGGTTGAGGAGAAGACGGTAAATAAGTAGAAATGCAAGTGGAAATTCTTACCCGAGGGATTACCAAAGCTTTGGGCATGATATTTCACAGCCACAAGCAGATCCAATAGAAGCTGGACATTGGCTAAAACAGGCAGAATGTGATTTCAAAACTATGCTTATTCTAAACCAGAATGAAGGAGTGCAATGTCAGGTATTATTTCTGTGTCATGAGACTTGTGAAAAAGCACTCAAAGCAGGCATGTATAAGCTAGTAGGATTAAATACTGCCTATCTTAAGACACATGGGTTGCTTACTCATGCTTATGCTATTGCTGGAACAAAACGTGGAGATTGGGCAGAGCTACCATCATTAGTGTCTTCAATGGAGCAGTATTATCTCAAAACACGCTATCCTAATCAACATTATCCCTCAGTAGCCCCAGTTGACATTTATTGTCATTATACTAAACATGATGTATTAGATGTTATCAATAAAGCTCAGAAGTTGTTAGTATTGATACAAAGCCTATTTTAACTGTTAGATTAGTTTTAGAGGATTCAAGCTATAAAAATTTTTAAGGCTATTTGAATTTCGATTGTATTAGTTTACTATTTTTCTTAGATTTAAAAAATTTGCTATTGTCATTGTAATTAAAATTAGTGTTAATTTTTTGTATTTTTCGCTATTTTAAATAATTATTTTTCTACTAATTATTATAAATTTTATGCTTAATTTAATATAGGTACAAGTATAGGCAATAAGGCATTATGCAATACTAAGCAAATTTATATTCCATTCTTATATTTTGTTAAAAATGCTATAGAGTCTTGCTCAAAAAAATCCTGATAATGCATCATCAATATGTGGTGTATGCATATTGCAAGCTGTCAGGGTCATGATTTTTAAATAACTATGTGATGTACATCATACCTACTTATATGTTTTAATAGTGGCATGATAGAGTGCCATATACCACCAATTATTTTACTTAAAGAAATGAAGTTTTAAAGTAAAACTAAAAAACTGTTTTATAGAGGGTGACAGGATTTTCACAGGATTTTAGCATGGTGCTCATGCAAATTCTTGTCAATAGATTGTTAAGTTGCTCAAAAAATGGGTCAATAACTCTGTAGTACAGGGTATTTCAACATAATCACAAAGAGAAGATTCTTTATTATTATATTTTTGATGCATATACATGTTCTTATGTTACGTATCAACTAATTCAACTTTGAGCTGATTCCAATGAAACTTAGTATACAAATTTTAAGAATTGCTCAAAAATTTGGCCAAGTTTCTAAGTGTATTTTGGGCCTAAATTTTGATAAAAATTACAAGAAGAAGATTCTCAATTTTATAATTTTTCTTGATACACATGCATGTACATGTGGTGCATCAACTTTGAGCTGATTCTAATCACAATTCTTTGCTAATATTTAATATTGCTCAAAAATTGAGCCAACAGGTTAAATTTATTAAAAATTGCTTTGAGAAAATTCTTCATTTTTATAATTTTTGATACACACATATTGTTACGTTTGAGCTGATTCTAATCAAATTTGGACTTGTTATAAAATTTTTAATGCTATATTCATGAAGCATGCTGAACAATTTAAAAAGTGTGTGAACAAAATGAAGCATAGATATTAAAGTGGCAGAGAGGATAGAAACAATGCACCTAACAAATTTTAAAATGTTTCTAGTAAGTATCTACTAAAAAAAACTTGGATAGAACAAAATAATTAGAATGGGAACAAAATTTAAAGGTAGAGAAAAGATAAAAAAATTAAAACTGATTAATTTAAGTTTTAAAGTTAT